ACAAAAAAAGTATTGTGAAACTAAACATCGCCTCCTGAACAAATTGAAACTATAGTTGTGGACATTTAAAATTCTTTCTACCAAATACCTATGCTCTTTGGGGTTTTGCTGGTTAACTCTTTGTGTGTTGAAAAAACTTTTCGGATTCCAAAGCCTATAAATATCCAATTATAAAACATTGCAGAAATGATGATTCATTAAAAAATAAACACAATTTACTTAGACATATTATCAACCTGTCAACTATTACTCAAGAGGTTGGAAGAAAATGGAATAGTAAGATATTTGGAAATTTGTGTCACATAGCTTGCAGGTGAATCTGATCCTAAATGTCTGGATTGGGGTCTAATATGCAATTTATATTTAGAAATTATTAATGTATCAAATAGGAATTATCTAAATGGATCGAATGTGAATTCCCAACACAGTTCTCAAAGACAAAGTCTGACAAAGTAACATTTTGTTTTGGTCAGCCAGGGATCTGATATGTGTGGAAACCATGGTTAAGCGTATGAGTACCAAACTGAGAGTTCCACGTATACATTCCACCTACACACAGAAATTTCCATATGTCTAGAATGAAATGCACACTCTCGCCCTGGAGGCACACACCTAGCTCACCTAATTCTGGAAAGTATTAGGCATAGATTGAGGTTTGGCTTACAGGGATTGGGGTTTGGCTTGAAGTTGAATGGGAGGAATTATTCGCCTGGCTCAGAAACTGGAATATCAAAACTACCACAGCAAAATGAGTATAAAGTCCACCATTGAATCCACCTGTTTCATCATGTGCTTCAGGCCGGTCTGATTCACAATTTTCTTCACAGCCATTGTGATGTGCAATGCTATGTGTGTTATGCAGCAGGGCTGGTCCGCCCAGAAGTTTCTGCCTCCAAGATAAAGCCGAATTCCACTGATGATTGCAGAGAAGACAATGGGACCAGTCAGTCAAATAGGATCATTGTCCAGGTTAGAAGTCCAACTGTCAAGTTGTAACAACAACAACAACTTGGATTTATATAGCGACCTCCACGCCGGACGGAGTGTCAGAGCGCTTCACAGTAACGGATCCCGGGGCCGAGCCAGGGGGAGGGGGAGGAAGGTGACCAAAGGCGCGGTCGAAAAGAAAGGTCTTCAGCAAAGACCTGAAAATAGGAAGAGAGGGGACGAGGCGAAGGGAGTGAGGAAGGGAGTTCCAGAGCCTCGGGCCATAGTGGCTGAAGGCACGGCTGCCGAGGGTGGAGCAGAGGACTCAGGGGACAAGGAGGAGGCCAGACCCGGAGGAACAAAGGCAATGGGTACTGTTTTGAGTAGAGAGGAGGTCAGAGAGGTAGGGGAGTGCAGAGGAGTGGAGGGATTTGAATACAAGGGTGAGGATCTTGAAGTTGATCCTCTCTGGGACAGGCAGCCAGTGCAGTCTGGCAAGGATTGGGGTGATCGGGGAGTGGAGTTTGGTGCGGGTGAGAATGCGGGCGGCAGAGTTTTGAGTAATCTGGATTTTATGAATGGTAGTGGATGGGAGACCGGCGAGGAGGGCGTTAGAGTAGTCCAGCTGAGAGGTGACAAAGGCATGGACTAGGGTTTCACGGCTTTTGGAGAGAGGGATTGGCGGAGGCAGGCAATGCGTCAGAAGTGGAAGAGAGTGGAACTGGTGAGGGACCGGATGTGGGGGAGGAAGGATAATTGGAGTTTGCAGTAAATAATAGTTTGCAGTATGTAACTTTTCTGACAGGCAGAATTTACAGCAGTGCTTTACTTTTCCGTAACTCCATGTCTTTGATTTATAACTGTAATAGTTGAACATTGTGAGGAAATCTTCAAAAAGAAGCAGGTCTAAACTGCATAACAACTGTAAGTGTGAGTCCTGAGTGTTCCTGGGTCCAGGTCTCCTCATATTCCTGTGTAACTATGTTAACTATGTGGGTGTTCGTCCACAAAATACAGTCAATTCACTTTACAGTATATCCTTTGAAGTGATTTGGGATGTCTCAACACCGTGATAAGGCGTGATACCAAATGCAAGGATGATCATTATTATTATGGTCCTGTATCTTCATCTGAACCTCACTTGCGATCTTGATACTAGTTTGTGAAGTGAAGGAAACAAATGTGAAAGTTCTCTCTTTCATAACTACACCTCTGTAGGAATCCTGCCCTGCTAATTACTCTGGTGTGCTATGTGGTTTGGGAAGTTTCATTATCATAACAAGGTGATTCATAGGAGGGAATTGTAGCTATGGTACAAATGTACCTGATTTGAGCCTTTTGTGTAACACTACCTTGGAGTATTACCATGCAGGCAAAGCTTCCTCAAAACGAAAAAGTAAGTTATTTATTTTCAGTGATTTCAATATCTCTACAGATACATTCACAGAAGGTAAACATATCTAATAATAATAGTTGCATTTGATATAATGCCTTATCATATCTTCTAGATGCCTCAAAGCACTTCACAGAATATACTTAAAGTGAATTGACTCTATGTTTTGTTGGTGAAACATCCGTTATTTATGGAATGTCGTCATGTCTGAAGTTTTATTCCTACCATTGTGACCTGTAGCAGCTACAACATTGAATCACCTGTCAATATTCATAGCTCAAAAACCTTATATAGAGTTATTTATTTGTGTAATATTACGTTTGTCTGGCAGTATTGGCGTTGATATTATCACACAGACCAGAAATTAACAGACTAAAGGAATTTATTCAAAGAAGTATAAAAATTAGCAATGCTATTGGTACATTATACAGTAATGTCACATCAAAACTGGTTGACAGACAATTTAGAATTATAACCAGAAAAAAAGGGATTAGAAAAAAAATTACATAGAAGATTTTTGGAACGTAAAATGCTATTGCATAAAAAACAGATGAAAGTGAGTCTACATTTAACCAACATTTAAAAAGGGAATTGGAGAAATACTTGAGGAAAAATGACAATAAACGCTATGAGGACATTACAATTTCGAGTAAATGGCTTCAGTGGAGGAATTAGCACCAAAACAGACAGGATGTGCCAAATGGCCTCTTTCTATGTTGTAAACTGTCTATGATTCTACCAATTGAAGCAGCTCAGGCTTTTTGCTTGGTTAAACTACGTTATGTATCATTTGCTTCTTGGGTTCACTGGGTCACTTTCCTCCTTCATGTGCTTTAGCTAATTGACTGAGCTTTGGTAACACACGAGTGACTAGCTCTGGCAAATAGTAGGCAGATGATTTACCTTTAATTTGATTTTCTTAGGTATGAAATTCATGTTACTTTTATGAACAGATTCTCTTTGAATTTTATTTCTTTGACTTTTTTTAATAAAGGCTTTTGAGCAGATGGTTCAAGCAGAATAGTATAATTCTTCCCAAAGTGGCAGCTCTATCATAGCTTTATTCAATGCTAATGTACAACACTAGTACATTTAAAATATAAGGAAAAACTGTCGAATAAGTAAAGTTTAGTTGGCCTGTCTGTAGACTTTGAACAACTTTGACGTTCTTATGAACAATAAATGACCCTTTTCCGTAAAATGGCTACCCATGTATTTCTGACTGATCACCATATCAAGCATCTTTTTGGCCAGTCGGGTGTCTAACATCTGCAGAAACTCATCATTCTGCATAAGACTATCAAAACCAACCTGAGGGTTGCATGTTTTCCACCTACGAATGGAAATTTCTGTGTCTGGAATGAAATGTGCACTCTCTGGAGGGACCCACCCTACTTACTTAATTCCAGAAAGCATTAGACACAGATTGGCAAGCGCCAAGACTTGGAGACCCCAGATGTCAAGCTTCCTGCTGCTTCCCCAGCTAGGATAATAATAATAATAATAATCCTTGCATTTGATATAGCGCTTTTCACGTCGGGAGGACGTCCCAAAACGCTTCACAGAACACACTGTAAAGTGAATTGACTGTATATTTGTGGGTGATCGCGGCAGCCAATTGCGCACAGCAATGTCCCACAAACAGTTGTAGATTGAAAATGACCAATTTATTATTGTTTTTGATTTTGGAGGGATTATTATTAGGCGTGTGGAGTAAGGAAACTTGCCCAAGGTTTCGCCCTGTCTGGAATTGAACTCAGGTCTCTCACTTGCAAAGCGAGTGCTCTAACCACTGAGCTACAGGACTCCACAATCCTAGGATCACCCTAGGACTTTGGCTTGCAGGGTTAATAGGTGCTGAGTGGAAAGAATTCCTGTCTCCAGTGATTAATATGGCCCTACAGATGGGCTAGGCTGACTGTGCTGTCATCAGCATTGCCCTGGAATACTGTATACTCATCTGGCTCAGGAACCGACGAGTGAGACCACCACAGAGGGCTGGCTCGCTTCCGACATTCTGGTGCAAGTATATCATCTTGGAGCCAGTTCAGCTCCAAGGAGACATGTTTATCTTCCCCCAAGGAGGTTATAGTTACTAGATAGTCATTTGACATCTGTCAAGTGAAGGTTTGAGCCCTTGTTAAGTGGATGGAAAGTACCAGGAACTTTGTTTGCGCTACCTGGTGAGCAGCACAGCTCAGCATGAAAAATGTGCATCTTTCTGGCCTTCTGAGCAAGACAACAAATTAGTATTGAAAGGTGGACAGTTTTGTGTTATAGACCCGTGCGCATCAGGAATTGGATTCAGAATTTTTCAGCTCATTATGACTAGAAACTTAAAACTCAATACTAATACATCCCATCAGTCTGGGCTTGATCTGATCCCAGGTTCAAGAGATGCAGGGACAAATTCCAATCCATTACAGTGTCCTGTCCAGGCAGAATTTACACCCCGATTCTGCTCCACCATCTCTTAGCTCAACATTAGTACCACAGAAATAAGACTTGCTTTGTCCTTGCCTGAAAACTGTAAATGATACTGGGTCTTGTGAACACCTCTGTATTGCACAAATTTAAGCTGTTTATCCTGATTTAACTCACAGAAAGCAAAACGTTATGTGAATGCTGTGTCAAGGCTCTGTGGTCCTAGGCTCCGTCAATTGATTCAAGAATTCCCACTCTATTCATCTTGTACGCACAATCCCCAGTTATTCAGAAATGGATCATCCACAATGACTTGATTAATATACTGTGGATGCTCAGATCCTATGACTTGTCCTAGTGATAGAGTATCCCCTTCTTCCCAATCTAGAATCTCTTGTCCTTGGTTCTGATAATCAGCATGACATTGGCTATATTCTATAGGCACTGACTCTAATTTCTGAATGTCCTCATGCTGATCTGAGTATAACAGAGGGATGGGATCTATCATCATCTGAGCATAATTAGGGCAAACAAACTGAGGTTGTTCAAGGTATTCTTGGAAAACCATTGGATCCAAGGGAACAGAGTTGTGACAAGGTTCCAGAGCAGTGATTTGATGGCAGGATTCAATATTAATATATTTTTTGCAATGCATTTGCGGTACATATCTGCTTTGGAACAAAAACGTACTGGAACATACTTTGAGGTCAGTTATGTATTCCCACTCATCAGTATTTGTTTGTGCAATGCATTGAGGTGGAAACACATCATTTTTCTCTGTTGAATTCCAGCCTGATAGCACTGAAGGCAGATGTGCCTGAGGGTGATATATGTTCTCATATAAAGAGTATAAACTGAGGGGGAGAATAAATATCAATACAATTCCAATGCTCAAGCACAACATTACCAATAAGATTGCTTCACTGTGTCGCTCTGTGGAATAAAAACAATAAAATGAGTTTAATACATGTTAAACACTATCAGTTTCATTATTGATGCAGTGAGACATGTTCCTTACCTGCCAGTGTTATACATTGCTGCATACTAGGGGCACTGATGTTGTCTTCAATCTTTGTTTGAACAGACAAGCAGTAGGTTATTCCAGGGCTTAGACTTTGGATCTCAAATGTTTTATTTTTGGTTGTGTAAGTTGTCCACACCTCCAAAAGAATCTAAGTGTGACAAGAAGAATTCATATCTGGACAGGCATTCTGTATAAGAGGAACGGGAACTGTACAGTGTCCTTTGTGTTAGTGTTCTAGAGAGTTTAATGTAGTGGTGAAAACTGAGCAGGGAAATGAAAGATTTAAGGTTGATGTGACCAAAGACACTGTTGAAAGCCTTGTTTTTTTAGAAATGATTTTCAAAAAAGGGAGCGAGCCAGCCAAACGAAACGGTATTGGAAGGAAGTTTCAGATGACAGTGGCAGTGACAGTGGATGACTGAACACATTATTATTATTATTAGTCACCAATGGTGGAATGAAGCAAGTGGTGAGCAAGCAATAGAGCAGTAAGAGGAAGCAGGTATTGGACAAGTTGTAATTTGATGAACAGGGAATAAGGGAAAAGAGAATGATTCTTACTTGGTCATGTGCTTTGATTGATACTGTTATTGTATATTGAACACCAGGATGTTCTTTGTAATCTAATATCCTGCTCCTATTTTTCCCTTTGAAAGTTCTGTGTGGAATCATTAGTCCATGATTGACTCTGACCAGGATTGATTCTTCACGGGGGGTCAATTTTATCTCTGGAGGTGAAATGATAGCTGCATAAAAAGAAAACAATCTTGTCAAAAATTGGTTTGTGCTTTGAAACAATGACAGTGAATACCAGCTTGCAACAATAACCTTTTAACATCACATTCAATTCATTAGAACAAGGAATTTACTGGAATGCATTGGTGCCACAGCATTTCATTACAGTGTCAACCTAGACAATGAGCTCAAAATCCCAACATGTGACTTGAACCTTATGACTCAGAGATGAGGATGCTACCAACTGAGCCTGTTTTGTGATTCAGTAGGAAATTTAGGAACAACACCCTGTCCTATACTATTTCAAAGAAAAGTGAAAAACTTCTTACATTTATTTTGCCTTATATCTCTGCTTAATCCAAATTCATAGATTCATAGATTCATAGATTTATAGAATGTTACGGCACAGAAGGAGGCCATTCGGCCCATTGAGTCTGTGCCGGCTCTTTGACAGAGCAAGTCACTTTCACTAACCCCAATCACCAGCTTTCTCCCCATAACCCTGCAAACCTGTCTTCCCCAGATACCTATCCAGTTCATCCCCAAAAGATTCAGATTAATAGGCTGTTCATCTCACTGTGATAATAATAATAATCCTTGTGTTTGATATAGCTCCTTATCACGTATTCGAGATGTCACAAAGCACTTCACAGAATATATTGTAAAGTGAATTGACTATATATTTTGTGGGCAAAATGCAGCAGCCTATTGAACACAGCAGTGCCCCTCAGACAAGCATAGATTGAGTGACTAAATTATTATGTCTTTTAAGGGATGATTAATTCAAGGCACTGGACAGTCAGGGATTTGGACCCGAGCTGGAGGTTGGGATCAAGAGGGCTGGAACGCAGGGAGCTTAGGGGAGGAGGGTGACCAAAAGCATGGTCAAAGAAGAGAGAATTGCCTTGAATGAGACAAGGGAGAAGGGTGAGCCAAAGGGACTGTGGAATGGAGTTCCAAAGGATGGGGACAGAAAGGCTGAAGGCCAGGCAGCCAATTGTGGGTGGCCAGCAGGGGAGATGGAACAGGCCTGCTGAGCAGAGGGAGCTGACAGGTCTGCATGGAGTTAACAGGTCCCAGAGGTAGGAGGGAGGTTGGAGCAAGGGCGTGGAGAGCTTTGAAAATAAGAAGAAGCATTTTGAACTCTATCCTTTGAGGGATGGTGAGCCAGTGGCGATGGGTGATGATGGGGGTGATAGCGTCATGGAGCCTGGTGTGGGAGAGGACACGAGCTGCAGAGTTCTGAGTGATATGCAGCTTGGAGAGGGAAGAGTGGGGAAGACCGACAAGCAGGGAGTTACCGTTGTCGAGTCTGGATGTGATGAATGAGTGGATGAGGGTTTTGGCGGCTTAAGGGAGAGGCAGTGGTGGAGCCGGGCAACGTTGCAGAGATGGGGGAAGGCAGAGCGGGTCATGGCACGGATGTGGGGTGTGAAGGACAGTTGAGGGTCAAACCAGACACCAAGCTTCTGGACTGGCTTGGTGAGGTGGAGTGCACTTGGTGATGGTGATGGTGTTAGTGCCTGATGTGTAGAGGCACTGACGGAAGCTAAACAGGAGGTCCTTGGTTGACATTCAACTGGAGAAAGTTAGCTCTCATCCAGGACTTGGTGTCTTATAGATAATCCATGGAGTTGAGGGTGGAGGCAGAAAGATAGAGTTGGGTGTCATCTGCATACATGTGGATGTTGACCCCATGTCTGTGGATGATGTCACCAAGAAGCAGCATATGGATATTTAAGAGGAGAGGGCCAAGGACAGAGCCCTGAGAAATGCCGCACGAGACAGTGCAGGGAATGGAGGAGAAGCCGTTCGTGCAGACAATGGGAAAGGTAAGATTTGAACGAGATTTGAAAGAAAAACCATGAATATTGAGCTGAGCGGAGAGGCGATGGAGGAGGATAGAGTGATTGACGATGTCCAAGGTGGCAGAGGAGGACGAAGAAACATAAACGTTATTTATACCCTGCTTAATAAGCAAAATACATACTGTGAATACTTGGACAAAATTGTATACTATATGTCCATTCTCCATTGTCCACTTTCACTCTTGCCTTGTAACATTCATCAATGGGTAAAGTCTCTTGTGTGAGATCACAGAAAGTATTATTAATGCCCCAACATTCTGCTTTCTTCCTCCATTTCAATTCATATCTGCAATAAATTAGCCAATATCTGTTATAATGTGCATACTCCACATTATTCTTAAAAGTGATGTATTAAACTCAGCTTTAGTTTATTATATTTTGGTGTAAAATTTGAAGACTGCTTTCATGAAACACACACCTTAGATATTCCACAAAGTACTTTGTACTGTTCTCGGTCTTGATTGGTGGTTTCCAGTGTAGAACAGAATGGAAGTTTTGGGAGATGAATTTGACAACCTGTGGTTCTTTTAAAATAGAAAGAGAATATTTACAGTTTTATTTTACACCGAGAACAAGAGATAGAATTCTAGATATACAATTTTCTGCTGTCTTTCATTAAATCACTAACACAGCAACACCAATGATCACATTCAATATGATTAAGAATTAAATTGAAAAACAGAGATATTCACATAATTGGCAGATGTGCCATTTCCTTTCACTCCGTTGAATATAAAGCTAATATAAATCTGAAAATAATGCTATTAGCAACATAGGAAAGAAGCAGTTACAATTAGAGGCCAAAACGCAAAATGCTGCAGATTTTGGAAATCTGAAACAAAAACAAAGTCGCTGGGAACACTCAGATCTATAGAGATGGGGAAAATGAGTCAATGTTTCAGGTCCACGGCCCTTCAACAGAACTGGGGCATGTTGGGAGGGAGAGGCTTTTAGGGGCTACGGACAATTGGTGTGCGCGCCAATGACCTTACATGGAAATTAACAAATAAAACAACGCATAGAATTACTCTGCTTCCCATTGCTCTCTGATTCCAAAAACAGTTTAATCAAGACTCTCCCTCTAAGGATTTTTAAAGCAAAAAGGTGAAAATCAGAAGATAATTTGCATTGCTCTTGAGTGTGACTGAGAGTTCTTTTTTCTAGTAACATTCAGTCACGAGTAAATTCTCAGTGATGTAATTCTTCCAACACTGAATTACATCAAATGATATGATGTTTCAGAAATAGGAAATCAAATTATTTTACGTGAAGTTGTCTGAATGCCCCACATTCAGCTGGTTTGAACCACAACTCATCATCAAATCTCTAGAAATCAACATTCTTGATATTCTTTATTATTAATAACATAGGAACAATTTTCCTTTGCTGCAAATTTCAATATTGAAATGTTTCAAAATATGTAGGTGCACATTATATACGGTGCTGTTATCAGTCTCCTTTGCGGGGTTCCCATTGAGCACATGTTTGGACTTTTGAGAGATAAATTAGACAATTTGGGAATTTCCTATTTCTGAAACATTGTAAAAAGATCAATTTCGATTTGTCCTCCGACTTTGAGATTAAATACAAAATGCAAGCCATTCAGCGGAAACCTCAAAAAAGGAAGCAAAGAGAGAAACAGAATTAAATCTAGGAAGATTGTAAAGAGCAACTCCGTTTGGAGAAATGTAAACAGATTTTGTCAGACGTTTAGTAGATAAATACAAGAGATTCAAGACAGGTGGAAAAAAACTAACCCTTCAGCTGTTTCTTTGAATAAAAAAGGTTACTTACGACCATTGTTAAAGTGAACCAGTGTTAATAAGAACCACACAAGTGTGTACTCCTGTTGTACTGCCATCTTCACATGACTGAGCATGTACTATGCTTTTAAGTTCAATATAAAACAAAACACAACCTTCTCCACCCCAAATGATTTTATCATAAGTTCCCAAAATGTCTTTCATACTTCCTTTATATTGTTATTTTAACCAACAGTAGGAAGCACCACACAATGGTGCTACAACCTACTTCTGGTCAACATATTACCAGCTTTCACATGTCTGCTGCTCACTCACCAGAAATATGCATTGATGAGGAACAAGTTTCCTAGAATAGAAAAAACTTTCATTCGCCAATCTGTTGTTCTACATATTCAAAAGATCTCAAGTTAGGAAACAAAAGGTTTATGGAAAGCGTAAGCATAACAATTCTTTGTTTTGTTTGATTTTGATAAAGATGGAGGATGGTATTAGAGGCCTCTGTAGAAAAAGAACTCTTCCCCCTTTCCAGTGAAAAATGTGACCTTGGTGTACCAGCTTTGCAAAGGAGATCAAAACAAAACTTCTGCTTTGTGGAGGACAATATGCAGAAGTGGACCAGGGGCCTTGTACCAATTTGTAAAGATTGGAGAAGTCTAACTCTGATATCCCTGTTGCCATCGGAACATTACTGAGATCCTTGTGATCTGAGCAGAGGCTGTGAGGTCATTGAGTGCTTTAGTGTAAAGTGGTAGTGTTATTGGTGTTTTGCCACCAGATAAAGCCCCTTGTCATCCAAACTGCACTTTCTACATTGAAACCCCTGCCTGTCATGCTGATTTGTGAGACCTTGGCTGGGTATTGCCCTTTTCCAACACTAACATCAAAGATGATTCAGGCCATGATTGTACTCCTGTACAGCTGTGGCACTAAGGTAATGGTATATTTCAGCAGAACCCAATATGCTCAACTATAATGGTATAATTGAGCAAGGTTAAGTTCTGCTAATGGAGGTTAGGATGAAATTCCACCTCATGTTAGCCTGTTACCCTACAAATTTAAGAGCACAGAGAATTGTGGAAAATTCTACATTTGCAAACTCTTTTTTCTCATTTCTTAAAAAGAACTGACTTCCGAATTAAGGCCAAATTTAAGAATTTTCCATCAATTCTGCACAATTTTAAATTTTAAGACAAAATGTTCATCACACACGAATTCTAAGTAGATTGTCACACACGGACTTTAATATTCAATCTGTCTCAGAATCCTAGTGATTTTCTTTACGGTTACTCAGGTTCAAAAATAGTTTTTTAGCCTCTTCCACGAATCATTAGAGACTGACAATCCGAAATGAAAAGAAATTCCCCATAAAGCAATCCTGCTGCTGTTGGACCTGCAGATGCCCTGGGAAGAACATCTAAAACTCCAAACATTCCTTGCTGGGAGCACAGGTTTGGTGTTAGCTTGACTCAGCTGGTGGCACTCTGAGTCGGATTGTTGTGGTTTGAAGCCCCACGTTGTGACTTTGAACTCACAGTCTAGGCTGATACTCCAATACACTGCTGGAGGTGTCCTGCATTGTCAGAGGTGCCGTCCTTTGAATGAGACATTAAATCAAGGACCCATTTGCTTGTTAAGTTGGACGTTAAAGATCACAAAATCTGAACGCTTTGCCCAACAATCTCCGTAAATAAAGTTGGTCATTCACTTCCTGGCTGATTGTGGGACAATGCTGTGTGCAAACTGTCCCACTTCGCCTAGAATCATAGAATCAAAAAGCATGGAAGGAGGCCATTTGGCCCATCGTGACCCAAGTCAATCCATTCATTATGTTTTATCTATTATAAATTCATTGCATGTGTTAAGTAGCATATCACAGAATGCAATTTTCATCCCTGTAGCCCTTAGCACCTGAAATTTAAATATTAAATAATAATTTAAATATGAAGTAATAAGTGCAATATCAAATCATGAATTTGATATTGCACTTTATCACATTTTCAAAGAACCTCACAGGATTTTATTGTAAAGCATAGTAACTGTATTTTGTAGTACAAGAGGAATTGACTTTACAGTTTTAGCAGCAGACAGGATGAGAAGGGGTACTGGGAGCATGATCAGGTTTTGAAACTCAACTCAGCTGAACAGAGATATAACTTAAAGTGAATCAAATCTTTACGCCTGTGCCCCTATAGGTCTCTCTGCTCTTCTACTCCTTTTAATATGTTACCATTTACGTTTGATCACATGTATTGCTATTTGAACTAACAAAACAGGAATTGATCCAATTCCAAGCATAAAAGCTTCAAGCCAGATATTCTGCGGAAGTGCAATTCTTTCAATTCTTTCAAAAACGTATAAATGTATTTGAATTAGAAAGTTTGCAGAACAAATGAAATATGAAGTTTATATGTGGTAACCTTTTCATATCTTTTTTTAATTAAATAAATGATATATTACATTAAAATGTCTTAGAAAATATTTTTTTCCTGTATGATCTTCAACACTGGCATATTGCAGAATAACAAACTACAATGGTCTTTCACACTGTGTAATGATCCAGAACTAACAGTTTATAATTGGAAGACTCAAAACCTTTCTTGATTGAATGGTCTTTAGATTAAATGCACTTGTACTGTAAAGACTGTGTGCAATATTAGAGCATTCAACAGCCCAAGAGATAGAGCTGGAGGCAGACTGAATGTGAAAGATAAATGAATTGATTATGTAGGAGTTTTATCACTCTATTGATCATTTTAGCAGAGGGTGAAGCCAGAAACTGCAATAATTGATAATGCTGCAAAGGAAGCATCTTATTTTTCTTTATTGTCATTAGATCCATTTTTAAAACTTGCACTGGTCAAGTGGATGTCACTTTGATCCCAAAGTGCTTGATGTTTCACAATTGTTTTGTGGATTATTGTACCCCATGAAAAATATTTAATAATTTCCTTTTTAAATAATACATTGGAGGAAGTAATGTGCAAGTATTATTTTATTGTATTTTATTACAATATTCTTACATTTAATATGTTTAAATGAATAATTGCTCTTGATCCAAAAAGTAAACCTTTATACAGTACGTTTGTAGCACATAGTCAATATATTAATGTATTCTCTGACCATATTGTGGAAAATAAACTTTATCGCTGGAAAAAATAGGAATTCAGACGCATATAATGCAATATAATATACAATAGGGTACAAAAACGACTTGCATTTACATAGCTCCCTTCATGCGGGGTAGAGTCCCGGAGCGCTTGACAGTGGCAGAGTCTGACTCCGAGCCAGGGGGAGAGGTAGTGGGGAGGTGACTGTAACCAAGCTCAAAAAGGAAGGTCTTTATGCAGGATTTGAAAGTGGGAAGGGAGAGGGCAAGCCGGAGAGATTGAGGGAGAGAGTTCCAGAGTTTCAGAGTGAAGCGGCTGTAGGCACGGCCGATGGTGGAGCGGCGGGGGCAAGGGATGAACAGGAGGCTGGAACCAGCCGAGCAGTGGCAGTGGTTGGTGGAGTGCGGGGTAAGCAAATTGGATAGTTAGGGAGATGCGAGGGCATGAAGGGATTTGAAAATGAGTGAGAGAGTAACATTCGTGGCATTTCAAAACTAAGGGCAGCATAAACTATCACCACCAACCAGTGCAAATCTCCTGGTAAGTGGACTTTTTCCATTCAGAACCTAGTGATTTTTGTTTTGATGTGTTGAGAAAAGTACAGTGTGTTGAACAAAAAATACTAAACAACAAAAAAAAATTAAAGATTGAGCTAGGGCCAACAATTTATAATATAAAAATTGCCTGTTTTAAAATTGCGGGCGCTGGGATAACAAAAGGAAGATACCACTTATTAGGTATGTGTGTGGGGCCCGAGTACTGTGATACCTTATGCTGGCATTAGTTTTGAAGCACCAAAAACGACTTATATATTTCTGTATCTGTGCATCTGTTCTTAGTTGGTGCCCACTGAGGATTTGTGAAATTGTTGGCTTACTTTGCTGCTGACTTGATCCCAAAGTTGGTTAAAGTGTCTGTGATCTCGACACAATGGCCAAATAGGCCCCTTTTGTAGAGAAAATTCCTATGTTTCCATTCAGAAAATCTGCTTCTGTGATGCTTTTCTGGGGCATCTTCAGATCACAACTCTGTGAACAGAAATAGTTAATACAGTTAATATTAAGCATCTGATGAATGGGAGGAGGCTGTCAGCCTTTAGAGGCTTTTCCACCATTTCATTAGATCATGTCAGATATTTAATCCCATTTCCTGCCTTTCTCCATAATCTCTGAATATTCTTCCTCAGAATTTATCTATCACCTTTTGAACATCTCAATTGCTTCTGAATGTTTGTAGACACAGAAGATATGGAATAAGAAAAGCCTATTGATCTCACTTCTTCCAGGTCACCAAGTTTAAATTGCACCATCATGGATTCTCCAATTTATTCAGTCTCCTGACAGAGGACAAAAGTGAAGATGCTGCCACTTGTAAGGCTCCAGTACACCTCACAGTGTTATTAACTCTATAAATGCTGTGAAGATTCCCACATGTAGGAGATTTTTCAAAGTTGTTTGTTGGCCTGACTCTTTGTGAAACTTTATTGTGCACAAATTGTCTGCCGCATTCTACTATAAATTACATAGTCGCTACACTTTACAGTATAGCCTGTGAAGCACTTTGAGACATCCTCCTGATGTGAAAAGTGCTACATCAAATATAATATAATAATAGTCCTTGCATTTGATATAGCGCTTTTCACGTCTTCTAGACGTCTCAAAGCGCTTCACAGAATAGACTATAAAGTGAATTGACTGTATATTTGTGGGCGAAATGCAGCAGCCAATCACACACAGCAGTGTCCCACAAACAGTCGTGGATTGAAGTGATCAATTTATTATTGTTTTTTTTCTTGAGGGATTATTATCAGCCATGTGGAGGAAGGAAACTTGCCCAAGGTTTCACCCTGCCGGGAATTGAACCCAGGTCTCTCACTTGCAAAGCGAGTGCTCTAACCTCTGAGCTACAGTACTCCATAAATAAGGATAATAATGATTATTAGTATTAATAATAAAGTTGTTTAGGAATCTTACTAAGAAGTCATAACATTA